CATCTTCAGTTCTCGATTCTTCACCACGGAAAGAAAAAATATCTACTTGTTGCAAACAAACAGAACATAATCAGGAAACGTTTAACGTGCATAAATCAAAATAAAAAAAAATTAAGAGCTCTTTGTATTTCTGCATTATAAATACCAAGTGTTTTTTCTTCTTATCCGTTGCGTCCGTACGAGCACTTTTCGCAAACACCACTACTCTTCAAATCGTTTACACGAGCGATACCCCGTTGAATCAATCCTTGCTTTCAACAACCAGAAAAAAAAAAAAAGATGAATTCTGCAAACATTATCGAATCGGCCGAGATGAAGTTCGTTGCTGACGAATTTTCCAATGATTTGTAAGTTTTCTGTTTAACCCATCAATTCCAAACGTTTCTCATCAGATAAATTTTGACTGACGTTTCTTTGCGTATCTCGTTTCTTTCAATCAAGGATCTGGTACACCAGAGAAAAGAACAAGGCCAACAACAAACGCCGCTCTACCTCACGAAAAAATTCCGGCAGCAATGTTCCATCGGTAACCGTCAACAAGAAGTACTCTGGTAGCAACAGTCGCCTTTTGGCATATAGTCGCATGGAGGAAGATGAGGAAGAACTCGGTACGCCCATCAACATCTACCGAGAACATCGAGGTCACTTGGAACAAGACAAAAAGGCACGCATAGAATTAGACACTCAGATACTCAAGGATGATCTTTATGTTCCTGTACATGCTGAGGAATCTCAACAATCAACGGCGTCCGTCAGAACCGACTACAAGTTGAATAAATCATCAAGCCAACACTCCTCGTCGCACGTTTTGCCGACATCAACGACATCAAGAGGTATTAACGTCGGAAATCTGGCCTCCTTCTTGCCACCAGTTGCCTCAAAATTCTTACCTCTTTCCCTTGGTTACAACAACGTGGGAATCATGGAGAGCGGCAACAGAGGATTTAATGACATGTGGGGTTATTATCATCAGAATGAAATGTTTGCAAATGGAATGGACAACGTCAAGGGTGTTTGCTGTTCATGAATAATCGATCTCGTTCTCAACTTTATTTATTCACTGTTAATATTTTGTAGAACTTCTTTCGTTTTTTTTTGTTTTTTTTTTTTTTTCTTCTTTCTCTCGTAAATGTAAATCTCATGAGTACATCGGCATCGATCGTTCTTCACGGAGTAGACGTACTTCGCGAGTAACGAACTCTTTTATAGTTAAGCCCACATAATGACAAACATTTTCTTTAGCTTGGCTACTAATATTCTGAATTCGTATTCTTGCTTGTAAATATAAGTGATCACTTAACCTTTCGAATTTTAGATTTTTTT